CCCCCCCCCCCCCATCAGCAAACAGCTAAAGCAGCTTTCAGAGTAACAGCCAGACAGAGCCTGACAGCCCCATATGTTTCAGCAGAGACAGTTCCTCCCTCTAATGGGCCCAGAGGAGCGCGGCTTTCAAAGGATTCAGCGTGGAAGTGACAGGCTGGAAAGCCTTATTAATGGGCTCTCTGCCGGCGAGGGGCTGGGAGGCAGAGAGTGCCAACAGCCCGGCGGCGTGGCAGAGCCAGCCCTCACCAGCCACCAGCCTCCACGGCGGTGAGCAAGCCTTCCTCACCCTCCCCTTGGACATGAGACAGGGTGGTGATGACCCTGGTGTCTTCAGCTTTTTCCTAGGGACCAGTCAGCCTGTGATGTCTTTCAAGTCCATGCACTCTGCATTGCATTCTGCTCTTCCAGCTCCAACCCCCAAACATGCCCATTTAGGTTGGAAAAGACCCTTGGGATCATCGAGTCCAAACATCAACACTACTCTACAAAGTCCTCCCCTACACCATGTCCCCCAACACCACATCTAAATGACTCTTGTCATGAGTGGAGAGGAGCCGGGGGGCAGCAACCCATGGCTGTTGGTCTCCTCTCTGGTACAGAGAAGCCATGGAGTCAGGAAGCCAAAGTTCCAGTGCTCAGAAACTGCTCAACCCTTTGCCAGGTGCTGGTATTCAACCAGAAATTTTCTTCTGGTCTTAAGGTGGCTCCTAGAGAAGGTGACATGTCATCATAGGGCTGGTCCTTGTGGATTTTTTTTCTCCACGCCTTCCTGGTCCTCCACATACAAAGCCACCAGTGTCTCCCTTGTTAGACCCCCATTAAATTTGGCAGTTTCTTAGCTTTTGCTGTGTTGCTCCTAAATCACTCAGGTCTGCCTCAAAATGAAAGAGACACAAGAAGGAAGGCCTCAGGCCCTGGGCAAAACACAAGGAAGAAGGCTCTGCCCCACAGCACCCACAGCGAAGTCATCCCTGCGCTTAAACATGACCTGCTGCATGGACAGGAATTGAATGAGGCTCAAGGAAACTTAAACCACAGACTGAGTGAGTGACTCTGCATAGGTGAATCGCCACGGATCGGCACACCTGGTGTAGAGTGGGAAAAGGGAACCTCCTCCATTAGACTTTTCCTCCAATGAGAGAAATTGTTTTTTCCTCTCCGGGTCAGGGTCCTGTGGTTGGCCACAAAACCCTTCAGAAGACACTGTGTCAAGGCAGAAAAGAGCCTAATCATGGGCTCAGTAGAGAGAGACCCCACCAGCAGTTTTCAGTTCACCCCAATTAACCCTTCCTTGTTATCCAGCCAGTGATGACCTGTACCACCCTTCCTCTCTCCCACCACAGATAATGAGTCTTATCTCCCTCTCTTGGCTTAGCATCCACCCATTGCTCCCAAAGTGCTAATTACATTTTACTCATAACTTGCTTAATCAACTACCATAATTAAATTAAGAACAAAGCAGTGCCTTTCTACCTAGCTTGTAGTTTGGGTTGTAGGCTAATGCATTTACAGAGACTGAAGTACCCCAAGCCTGTTTCTGCAGCTATGGCAGTCTCTCACATAAAAACTACCACCTCTCCACAAATCCTGCCTCTCAGCTGCAGAGCCAGTGGTGCTCCTCTGAGAGAAATGGACTTTCACTTCCTTGCCACTCTCATTACTCATGTTCACCGTTCCATGCCAAGATAAATGAAAATTATTTCCTCTTTAATAAACAAAAGTGGCCCTACATGAAGAAGAATAATTTCATTTTTAATAAACAAAAGTGATCCTAGGTACAGAAGTGCGTAATTTCCTTTGTCTGGCTCATCCTCAGAGGGCAGCAGCCCCTGTCAGTCTGGATGCCATCTCTGCATACAAGGGTAAAACAGGGCAAAGTGTAGCAGATAAGAGACTGTAAATGTCTATTACAGGGTGCTTCATTCTGCCTGATGGGTAAAGGATAGCAGACAAAAATTTGAGCGATAATATAAGAAACACTGGTCTTTTGCCAGTGACCTCAGTAGACAAATAAAGGTGGCAGGTGTGCCCTGAAGCTGTTGGCATTGTCAAAAACTGGGCAAACCTGAAGCTCCCATTGTGGTTTGGGGAGGTTTTCCCCCAGCCCAGTGTGGGCTGGTGCAGCCTGTGTATATAATGAGTGATCTGAAGGGGCTTCATCAGGGCAACAAAGCAATGGGGGACAAACACCCAAGGTGAGTAACAGGTCATTTTGTACGATTCAGGCAGAAAGTCTATTTCCAGCTCACAGTATTGAGTGTGACACTGGGAATCACGCACCATGAGCTTTGTTTGCCCAGTTAGAAAGTCTCTGGTAGAGATTTACATTGGACTGAGAGTGTCTCAGATGACACATGTGCCATGGGACAACTGTTCAGCTTCCTGCACCCCCTCTGCTGTGTAGAAGATAAGAGAGTGCAAGGCAGCCTTGCTACCCCGAGATAACCATTTACTTGGAGGGAAGCCCTTGGCTGCCCCTTTACAGGTGTTTTGCCCCTGTGAAGCAAAGCCAATCTGCCGGGGTTGAGCCTGGCAATCTAGTGATGTGGCTAATTGAAACCACTTGATTTTGAATGCTAAATATTTGTTTGCACACAAGATGGAGTACACGCCTTTTTTGGAGAAGCCACGGGGCAACTGATGATTACATGCAAGAATACAGACATCTAATTGTGTCATTTTCATTTGTAAATTGGCACTTTGTCCAGAACCCATGTGAGATGCCGAGGTCTGCTCTGTTTCCCAGGCAGCTCCTTGGAGCCTCATCAGGAATTTTCCTGGGCCCTTGCTAAGCCAGCTGCTGTATTTCAGAGATGAGTTGCAAGTGATTTCTAAATAGTGGTTGCAAAGCTTCCTGGGATGAATAGATGTGATAAAAATGCTTGATTTCAGCTCTGCTCTTGAGCTGCTGACAGATACAGCACAGCATTAAGTCAGCAGCCTAGTGTAGCTCGGGCAGCAATCACTGCTCTGTTCATATTTCATTGCACTTGGCACAAGGCTGATGCTGAGGGAAAAAAACTTGGTGGGACTTCTTAGGTGCCGAAATATTTATTCCTATCTCAAAAACTTCTGGAGTTTCCCAGTGAACTACTGAAGCTTTAAACCCAGTGAGGAATTTGATACCTTTAGATGCACTTGCACAAGATTGCCTACTTGTCTAAAAAAAAAATTATTCCATTTTGTACTCACTTTTCCTTAAAGATGCTGAGTGTTTTACTGAATGGTGACCCGCATCACTGTTTCTACACCCAAGCATATTCCCTTACTTGCAACATCTCAGGGCCAGCATTTTGCCATAGACGTTTTGCTGATATGTGGTGCCAAATCACAGCTTTCCTCAGTTCAGCCTGGTTTCAGGCAGTCTCTAGACAGGCAGACTCTCGCCTTTCCTGGGTCAAGAGCGTCTGCGGTGATGTCTGTTTCTTATTATATAAATACCTACTGCTTTTGCACAGGGAGACCACATTTTGCATCAGGGCTGTATCTTCTGCCTCAACAGATATTTAACAACAGTAAAAACATACCAGATCTTTTATATCACCCCTTCATTTTAACATAGCTTTTTGCGCAGACAGACTAAGTAGAAAGTATTTCTTTCCACAGTAATAGGGCTTGACTGAGAAGGTCAAGGGAGAATGGAATGAGATTTTTCATAAAAGCACTGAAATCCCACACAAGGGAGAAACTTCTATTTCAGGAGCAAATAATTGCACACAACTACACGTATCTATAAGTGAGAGACTTTATTTGAACCAATTTTTCAAATACAGACATCTGTATTATTCTCACTTCTCGGGAATGTTTTCTGCTCATTTTTGAAGCTTGCAACCTTAGGACAATATTCAGGACATATGTGTACATTAGATCTCTGCAGATGGACACATTCATAATGCACAAGTACAATGAGTGAGAGACTCTTTCCAGATCCTCACACAAGAGCATCGGAAATGGGCCGCTCTAATCGTCAAGTTCTGCTCTTATTAGCTTCCAGACACGTCACAGTTCTTGATACTCTCTAGGCTGTAGCCGCCTTCTTCAGGCCCCGATTTACTACTGTTACTTCAGCTGTATGCCAGTGTAACTCCTCAAAATAGGGCTTAGGTGATGCACAGGGATGTGTTTCGTTCATTGGGAACAGGCATGAGCAGAAAAACCAAGCTATTGGATGAACGGTTCACCTAGGATTTTCTTTTGTGAGAGTAGTCTAGGTCTCAGGCTGGGATTCTTTTTGGGAAGTGACCAGTGGTTCTGGGTGTGTAATACATGAATCTTGATGTTCAGAGTACACGGGGGGGACCTGTGGATTGGGCCCCAGCAAGGTGTCTCTCAAGTTGGGCACTCCAGACGTGAGCCACTGGGATCACTAGCCTGTTCTGCAAATCTCAACCTTCACCTCTTCTTCCAAGTATTGCTCAACAGAGGAATGTAGTAATAAAGCGTTGTAGGCAAGAATGCAGGCTCGCACATGACCTGAGATCAACACCCTGAAAAATGGATAGAGGGTAGTGCTTTCAGGACCACCTAAATGACTCAGGATCTTCAGTTCCAATTTGGAAAGTGACCGGAGAATTTTAGGCCCAAGACCCCAAATTTGCTTCAGAGAGGAGTTTAGCCATCCTCCAGCATCTGGGCCTTAGGAGCTTATGTATCTTTGAAAGCCAGTGAAATGTGTGCTCTCAAGTGCCCACGTCACTTAGGTTATTCTGAAAACTGTACCCTATATACATACGGGTAGGTAAGGGGCAGACTTTCACAGGCACAAGTGGCAGTTAGACATGTAACTCCCATTGATTTTTTTTTCCCCCTCGGGGACCTGGAAAATCCCCCCCCCGAGGAGTTGAATCCTCCTCTCGCATTATTTTCACACCAGATTAACACCACTGGTTCCAGTGGAGCGACTCCTGAGTTACCCCAGTGTGAGCGAGAGGAGAACCAGTCCTGAGGTGCTCTAAATATCCAGTGAAAGTGCTAATGTGGCAATGCGGAAAAGCAGGGAATCTGAGCACAGGCCTGGAAGAGGACCACCACCACCACCACCACCACTCCCCTGCATTGCTGAGCTGCAGGCAACCACTGAATGGACTTCTTAGCCAAGAGTGGCCACAAAAACATTCATTCAGACCCTTCCTTCCACCTCCACAAACCACAGCCGCTCTCTTTCCTTCCTAAGACACCTATGACAAACACCAGACCTTCGGTACAAAAAGCCTCATGCAGCAGTTTGCCATTCGGAGAGTGCAGGAAAAAAGAAATCACTCCCGTGGGGAGTTTGGTATGAACTCTCTCTTTCTTTTTTTCTTCTTTCCTTTCTTTCTTTCTAAAACCCTCTCCTCCGGTCATGGCCATTTCTTTCATTTGGAGTGACACGTTCCCCAAGTGATGGTGTTTACATTGTCACCATAGGTGAGTTCCTTCTAGCTAAGGCCTCTCGTGGGGCCGCATTAGGGTTTGGGGTTGGAAAATACCGGGTCTGAAGGGATCTCAGCAGCGTGCCCTTCCTCTCCCTTTGGAATGTGGCTCACAGTGGAGCTTCTTGGCTGATGCAACTATTGCAAGGGCTGTGGGTTTTTATACGCTATCAATGCAGATAGTCTGCAGGTGCCACAAGCCTTGCAAAGCAGACCAAATTCATGAGAATGACCTACTGCATCGATGGGGGGCGGGAGGGGTGTTAGGTTGGGATTTTTTTATACTTTTCCAAGGCTTAGTCTAGATGAGGTGAAATGTCAAGAGCTGGCCTACAGCTGGTACAAGCATTCAGTATAGATGTGGATCACTAGCATATCTTACTATAGGGGCATGGGAAAAGCCCCTCTTGGACTCTGAATTTCCACAGCACTCTACGTGAGGTCAGGCACCATTTTCCCAGTGCGAGTCATTCCGACAAGCCCTTCCCTCTCCATACATAAAGTAACAACCACAGACACCTCCAGGCAAATCCTCTTCAGGGAGAGAGGATTAGGTATTTACTCCCTGGGGAATTTGTGTTGGTTGTTGCATCAGGAAAAGCTCCAACTACTCTGCTGGGTACTCTTTGCTCCACTCTTTACTTCTGGGACCTCCTGCCTCTTGTGCTGCTCTCAGCTCACTTGATACCCTGCTAGAAAAATTGTTCCTCAAATACCCCTGTTCTCCTTCCAGCTTCCGTCCCATGCTATATCCTTTATACTGTTTCCTTTCAGCCTTTTAAAAATCTGGCTGAAGAGGCAACTCGAGGAAATCCAAATGCTTTTCTCTGCTCTCTTCCTGTACCCTGAAGACAGCCCAGCTTCCTATACAAACCTTGTGTATTACACATTAAGCCACTGCCTGCTCAAGGCAGGGTTTGTCTGTGTGCTCTCTCTCACGCTCTCTTTGCCCTGACTCTCTGGCAGGATCAGGACACGGTACAATAAGAAAGATGGGGGGGGTGTGCTTGGTTACAGCCAGTAATTTTAAACTGGAACCAAGGGAGAGGAATTAGTATCTAAATTATTTAGGTTTGCAGTTGGTAACCACATACCCCGTTCTCTTTGTGGGGGAAAAAACCCAAAACACAAAACGCAACCCTTTGTTCTCTAAGCAACATGGCAAAGTATGTTCTTAAGAATGGTGACAAAACGCGCACGATGCCCCAACCATCAGCCAAGGGGGAGGCAACATGCGAAATGCAAAGCTAAAACATCTCTGGGGAGAGAAAAATGTTTCTGGTTTTTTGAGGAGGGAGGAAGGCCTATGTCCAGGAAGACATGAGAGGCAGTTTTCTTTTCCTTATAAAGTTAAAAATAGTAATAGTAAAGTGGAGGTAAGATGAAAAGTTTGGGGTCTGAAGTCAGAAGAGCAGGGAGACCACACGGTCTTTGCAGAAACAGGCAAGACAGTCCTTAAGAAAACGCTTTTAAATGGTCATGACAGGAGATGAGGCTAAACAAAAACCATGCTCTCTTTCTCCTTCCTACCTCCTCCCAAACACCTCTCCCACAAATCCTGAGAGCTGAACCTCAGTTTTCTCTCGACTCAGTGCTAGAGACACGGGGCGTTCTGCAACGTCCGAGCTGGGCTGAGCACCTCGTGTGCTACGAACAGCAAACATACTCTACGCCTCTCCTCCCTACGCCTCGGCCCCCCGTGTCCATCAGAGCGCTCTCCCTCCCCAAACACCATCCACCCCCCTGCCCCTTCCGCGGCAGAAACGGGCAGGGTGGTGAGACCTGACATACGGTCCAAGCAATGCCTGATGTCCGCGCTACATCTGCTGAATTGAGGTCAGGCTGGAAGGTGTCTCAGGGTTTACCACCCATCATGACATGGGAATATTAGCATATATATCGTTTATGAAGTATGACACAATACCTATCTGTCAGTCAGCCCATCCTTCTACCTATTTAGTCTGTCTAATCTACTTTAGCTAGCTACGTTTCACTATCTCTATCAATCATCTATTGCTCCATGTTAGCTAATTTCTTCCTGTCTCTCTCTCATCTTTTTCACTCTAATCTTTCTTACTCTAGCTATACTCCCCTCTCTCTCCCTATCATCCATCTATCCACTCGAAAATCTTTCCCCCCCTCATCTCTCTAATCCCTGTTTTTAAAAATCTCTGTCCAATCTCTCTCCCACTCTCTCTTTCCCTCTCTTTTTTTAAAATCCTCCCACTCTCTCTCTCTCTTATTTCTACACAACGCCAGGAAGCACATGAAATGAATCCTGATGCCTTTTGATGGCACTTCCAGTGAGCGGTCTATGTTCAAACCGATCATCTCTGAGGAGACACTGTTCATCTTTTCTCCCTATTTCCAACGAAGAGATGGAGGAGAACAAAGGAGTGGGGCAGGGAGGGCCAACGAGCCCTCTGAAGGCTGTGGGGCGGCCACTCCAAGCATCAACCACCAAGGGCCGGTGGGGCTGTCAGCAGACCCATCTTTTTGGTGTAACTGCTGTGAGGCCAATTTAATCGTGGCCCTGCAGCGCTGTACAGCAAACCTGCAGAGCACCCAGGAAACCCTGCACAAGCTGGTGGGGAAGCACATGCTAATAATCAGGGCAGTGACAGAGCAATAACTGGGCTTTTATGAAAGCCCACCTATTAGTGAATTCACTTTAACTGTTCCCTCTTGTAGCTCATGAACAGAACAGCAGATCCCCACAGCCATTCAGCCTCAGGGCTGGGCATCTCTCAGTCCTCCACCAGTACAGCCTGGGTCTATGGGCATGCAGTTGGCACGCACCAGGGAACATCCCACACCCCGTGGAAAGTGGCAGTGGAGATGGACAAGGTGGTGCTCTGCCCGCGGCACCAAGCCTGCACCAGGCTTTTAGCTGGCTGTGGAGGAAGGGCATAAAAAACAGCTAAAAGCCTTGGTCCTCATTAGACCTGGGTCACCCAACCCGGGTTTCACCAGGGAGCAGAAACGAGGTATTTCTCAAAGTGCTCTCAACTGATGCTACCAGACCTTGTCCTGCCTATGTACCAATTTACCCAATTTATTTTGCCAAACAACATTTTTGGAGGGCTACACTATGTTTCTCAATGACTTCTCCAACCACAGCCCAGTGGGGTCAGCATCATGCTGCTGCTGGGGGGAGCTCAGGCCCCAGGACTCTCTCCCCTTAGAGCCCTCGGTGTGGCCCTTGGCAGGGGTTAGACCTTCAGCATGGACCAAAGCTGGTTCCTCTGCTGGGACCCACAGGGCTGCCTGGGGTCATCCCTCCGTCACCATGCTTCTCCAAATCAGGGCCTACAGGTGTCCTAGAGGGCTGCTTATTTTGTTCTTTGGACTAGATGATCTCTACGGTCCCTTCCAACTCTAAAAAAATTCAGTGAAATTTGACTTTGCTACTTTCATTATTTATGTTAGCTGGTGCTAAGACCTCCCTCAAAATCCAAGCCTGCTTCCCTTAAAAACCCCCTCAGCAGTGCTAGGGAGTGGGTCGGTCACTGACTCATGGCCAAGGAGCACAGTGGGGCCGTGCAAGAAGTGGCCCACCATTCAGCTGGCAGGCCAGCAGGATGTACAGCAGCATAGAAATGCGACACGGTAGTATTAATGATCATTATTCTCATTTATTATAATTATTGTTCAGTTTGAAAAAGGAGCCTGGAGCCAAGCATTACGCTAATTGGCACATTTTTTTTGTTGTTCTAGTTCTGAAAACAAACTGGGGTTTAGTACGATTTTTCATTCATTTGTTTGTTTGGTTTGGTCTTTTTTTTTTTTTTTTTCTTTCGTTCATTCCATCACATTGAAAAAGGAAGAAAAGGAATTTTTTTTTTTTTTTTCTTTCCTCTTTTGTTTTAACTCACTCGGTAAGTCTGGACTCCTCGGATGAACGTAACATTGCGCACACACACACTTGGAGAAGAGAGAGAGGAGAGAGAGAGAGAGAGAGAGCGCGCTCGCGGTGGGCAGACAGACACACGCACGCGCCAGGTCAAAGAACTCTGATACAGTGCAAGAATTTTCCCAAAATGATTGGATCATCATTACCAAAAAACTCGCCATAACAACACCAAGAAACAAAGAAATGTTTAAGCCACACTGTTTGACTGGGATTTTTCCTGCTTTTTTTTTTTTTTTTTTTTTTTAAATGTTTGCCACACAGAGAGAAAAAGGGTTTAAGTGGGAATGGGAGAGGGACGGACAGGCTCACAGATGTGAGCAGGAAGGGGGGAGATCGAGATTGGAATGGGAAGGAAGGATAGAAGATAGGGGGAGGGAGGGAGGGGCAATGGGGAGTCATTTCTTAATGTTCAGGCATTTTCTTGGTCCGCCTTGCTCTCTTCTTCTTTCACCTCTTCCTGCTGGGCACTTTCAGTAGGTTTGGTTTCTTCTACAGCATCTAGTAGGGAAAGAGATGGTCCAGGGTTAGTCAGCCATGATTTAGAGCATCCTGCATGTGCACACAGCCATTGATGGACCGCGTGGCTTCAGGCTTCTCTCTCCCCAAAGTGACCCAGGTCTCAAAGTCCCTGGCATTTCTGCAGCATGTGAAGAACGTGCCAGGTTTCAGCCTAAGCATGTAGCTCTCACAAATCACCACCAGCCCTGCCAGAAAGCATGTGCAACTGGAAGGAGCTGCCTAGCTCACTGCTGGTGTGGCAGGCAACCACCATTCATTTCATCAGGGCTGGTCTGCTCCATCTCTGTCTCTCCCCATTCCTCACTGACTCGCCCTTCCACACACACATACAGATAGACTATGGAGAGGCCAAACAAGCAGCATCACTCCAGTCTTGGGATAAAGAACAGGGAAAAGAAATAAGTGCTGAAAGGCTGGGTGGTGTGGGACAGACCACAAGATTGGTACGTCACATACCTCAATGCTGGCACTCGACATACCTCTGTAGCATCGCTGTATCTCCGGTGGCCATTCAGAGAGGACTATGGAGGACAGTTCCTGGCTTCTCTGATGGGCTATCAGATTATGTTATACCAGCAAATAAAATGGGCCACGGATTGCTCTTTGGCCCCGGGGCCAGCTGGCACCACACAGCTCACGTCCATATGGCTAAACTCTCTTACTCTCTAGAACAGGGTGGCAGTGTCTGGGAGCTGTCTGGGGCAAAGCTAGTTGGCGTGTTCAAAAATCTCACCATGGCCCGTGCTGTCAGCTTAACAATATGGATGTTCACAAGCCAATGTTTAGTTTGCGAGGATTAGCATCCTCACACCCATATTTAGCATTAGTGAGAATGTTAATTGGGATGTGAAACTTTCCGTTTATGCATTTTAGCCTGGTCCATTGGATGCCATCAGATGGCAGACTTGTATTTGCTTCCAACACTGGCAGCAGGTGCTGCATTCCTGCTTCCCTCTCTCCCTCAGCATTTTAGCCTGGCTTTTAAATATGTTCCTAGGCACCATATCCATCACCTTTAAGATGTGTGTAACTTTCTATCCTGAACCATCCTCATCAAAGGCTCTGCTTCTGGACCTTAAAATACTTTTTGTCTTAGTAAACTCTGACTGTTAATTTTCCAAAAGGAATAAGTCTGTGGGAATACCCCCATGGGCTAAGTCCCTGCACCTGCAAATCCCTTGTCAGCAAAAACATCTGTGGACTTTTTCCCCCGCCCCGTGATACTGAACAGCTAAACCAAATGCTGCTCAAGGACCCCTTTTATACATGGTACTGCTACAGCCATGAAGCAAAGACAAAACAGGCTACTGATTAAAATAGGGTGCAAGTATCGCTGTTAGGCATAGCAGACCAACTTGCCCTAGTTTTTTAATTTCCCTCAATGACTTAATCACACTCTACTGGGAGGGAAGTCTTTTTAATCCTGCTCTTCTCCAAAAATTCATAGCAGGAGACATGTTGAATTATGGAGCCAAGAGTAGAATCCCCATGCGTCTACCCCTAAATTTGAGCCAAAAAACTGTCATTAGCCAGAAACAAAGCACACTTTGCTATAAGGGTCTGATAGATCCTAGTGTAAATGTAGTGTAAGTGTAGTGTAAGTGTAAGGCAGAATTTCTGGTTTTTTCCACACTTAAATGCAAGAGGAATGGAAAAGCAACAAAGGATAGGCAATGCAGCTTCAGGAACACAAGCCCTGACACTCTGTTTCAGTATGTTTAAAACTTTCTGTGTCTTTCTACTGAAAAAATGCACAGATTTTAGCTGGCAGCGCCCACAACCTCCCCAGGACAGCACAACAGAAGGGCCTGTAATGCAGCAAGCACAGGGACAGACACTGGGAGGTCCTGCATGCCTGCTGAGATACAGAGTGCCTTGGCCAAGAGATACAAACAGCTAAGTCACACAGATACCCCGTTACACCAGCAGTTGAAAGTGGGGTCCAGCTCTTACAGTGGTAGACTCTTGACAATTGTCCTAGTGAAATGGGCAGGAAATCTGGTTGTACTTAAAGTGGGGGAGCTAGTAACCCCTCTGACGTGCAGTAGCTCACAATGTTTCCTGTGCCGTTCTTGCTGTTAGGATAAGTAAGCAGGTTGAAACACAACTATCTGTCATGTTTTGTTCCCTGTTGGCTCACCACAGTGGCAAATCGAATTTCCAGGGAGTGTCAGTGGCGCCCAGAGATCCCTGGCTAGCAGAGGAATTCTGCAGGGGTGCCTTGCTGCCCCCATTGCTCTTCTCTGGGGAGCAGTTAGTGGTAGGCAGATAACTCCCTGCTGAAGCAGCCCAGAGATTGCACTGATTTCTGCCATGGCTGAAATAGCTTGGACTGACTCTGAGGTCATGGAGCAGAAGAAAGGCCTTAACGTCACTTCACCACATATTCAAGTCAACAGAGAGAAATCGTTCAACTCAAATGCCAGACACATCGCAAACTAGAAATTTTCATAGCTGTGGACATCCCGAGTATAAGAGACAAGAGGTCTACCTTTTCCAATTCGTCATCTCAGAAAATTCAGCCAGTCACTCTCCCTCTTTCTTCTTGGATAGTGTTGAAGCAATAAGGGGAAATACCCTACACACTGCTACACCCTGCTAAGCTATGTCTTATTTCCTAGCAGCTTTAGCAGCATTTCATTGATCTTTGGGATGAGGTAAAGGAAGCAACCCAGTGTTATTATACAGTAATGAACTTTAGCAAGAAGTAGTATCACAAAGGATAAAAAATTCAGCACACACACACACACACAAAATTCAAGCCATGGCACTGCTAAACCACAGCAGTGAAAAGTAGAGGATTCTCTCTGTGCAATGGGAGCAGTGCAGCACAACCCCACTGACATCAGGGCCAGTTAATAGCAGTTCCTGATTCACGAGGAGAGGTGAGATGGTTTATCTGACTCACCCTTCGTCAGTTTGTTTGATGCAGGCTATTTCCGCAGTATGTTCTCTGGGTTTTTCTCCAGCCTAGTTTTCAGTGTCCCAGAAAAGGAGGGCAAGATATCCCTGGGGAGATTAGTAGATAGCTATCCTGGGGATCCCATACATCAGAGATGCTATTTCTTACATTGCTTTTTACCCAGTATTAGTCATGATTTCCCACTTCCTTGAACCCTGGGCTGTTGCACCTGTTGGTCTGCAGTGGACAGATACAGTTATACAGACGGAACTGCACACCCTTGGCATTTTACATTAACTTTGCACTTTGTTGGAGTAGGTGTAAAAGCTGACAAAAAAGCAGGTGAGAATTCAGGCCATTTAGGCAAAATGTTCTGTCCCCTGCTTGAGGAACAAAAGCATTTCATCCTGGGTGCCCAAGTTTCCACCTGTCTAAAGCTGCCCCCCTTTTGAACATGCCAGCATCTCCTCCTGCAAATTCAGAGTCCCTTGTGTCCACTTGCAAGGAAGAGAACAAGCAGGAGGCAGTGAGTTATTTTATAAGATGGATCTGGACTAAGGTAGCACCCAGATGCACGAAGAGATCATGAAATGGGAAAGCTGAAGTGGGAGTGGATGGACACCTCACCTAACTCCAGATATCTACACAGAGACACCTCCAGCTGATTTCTCACTCTCTGCTCCCCTTCTAATTAGTGGACATAAACATGACATTTCTAGGCCTCTATTAACCTGAAATACTTAGATGTTTACTTTAGGACAAGAGGAGTTGCAGCCTGGGAACACCTACATCTTTAGCAAGACAAGGTGGAGACATCCACATTTGTTCTAGAACATTCCAGCCACAGAGCAAAAAGGAGGACTCAAACTCACAATACAAGAACACAATATGTGCATGTGTGGAGGAAACAGAACAGGAGGGGAAGCTGAGCTGTAATATGAAGCAAAAGAAGCTTGAGGAGGGGTAAAAAATAAAATCTGTCCTGAAGGAAAAAGCAGGAATGGCTAGGTCAAAAACTGAAAAAAAACCCCAACCAAAACCCAAAACAAAACCCACCTAGTTTGTCCTTGCAATCATCAGCCTCAAAATTGTTTTAGTGCACATCCTTCATCATTTGCACTGCTCCTGGTGATTTCAGTCCTGTGGTCCCCTTCCAGACACAACTTTGGGATCTCAGTTTGTTTTGCAGCTTTGCCTTTTGTTTCAGTCCTTTGAAGTCTATGCTGCAGTCCAAATCATCCTATAGCATGGGACAATTTTGCCAAAGAGACAGGCATCTGTGAGCTGAGCTGCCACCAATCTCACTTCAATCTGGCACCCTGTATGGGGCAGCCAAGTTGAGAAACCTTTTGGGCAGCCTCAGACAAACCTTAAGCTGAGACTGCAGAATTGCTTAAGCGATAGAGGTGCATGGCGGGTGAGACTGAAGTGTGTTTGCTTCCCAGCTGAAGGGCCTGTGCCATAGACATGCTTCATAGCTACATCTCCAACTGGTACCTGCTAGGGAACTTCCTTGCCCATGGAAGAGAAACAACATGGATCCTTGCTGAAACAGGGTCTTAGAGAGCTCCTGCCCCTCAGCACTCCATTTATTTCCTGGAAAGGGTGAGAATCATGTCTGTGAGTCCTGCTGAGGAGCAAACGCCTCGAACATATGCAGCTCTGGTTGCTGTAAAGTCGAAGCAGGCACACAAGCAGCAGTTTTTCTGGATGGTGGTACTTCCAGCTGCCTTGCCTACGCTGTGCTCTAATGGTTGAGCGTGCAGGCTCCTCTCCAAGTCTCTCCACTGCCCTACATTAGTGAAATTAGGTTGAATGGATTTCCGGGTAAAACAGTGTCTCTTGGGACCTGACCAGCTCCCGTCTGACTTGCCAGGATTAATTAAATCAGAGCAGACATCAGCTTATGACCATAGCAGCGGCAACCTCTCTGCTGATCATTTCTTTTGTGGCTGTGGCTTGGGTTTTGTTTTCCTTTTTGTCTCTGTTCCACTGCAGATCTTTAAATTACCACAGCTGATGCCAAGAGAAGAGGAATCGCACAAACACTCTGGGATTCTATTACAGATGCAGCGAT